CAGCTCTCAGAAGAAAGACAAGGCAGCACAAAGACGTTAATGAGTTGAAATGGAAATAATGGTAAATTAATCAGGAGTTCTACCATTTTAAAGCATTATCTATGTACAGGGGCAGATCCGGAGGGGCTGCAGTGGTACAGCTGTATCCCCTTTAGGATGGGACCATGCCGAGATAGACCTCTGGGGACTTTTTTAAAGTCCCCAAAGCAGGTGAAAATACTCTCTCTTCCCCTCCTGCTCAGAGGCATGACCCTGCTCACAAATTCCCTGCTGCTGCTGTTTTCTGGACGTCTCAGGGGAGAAATGCTTCAGAGCCACTCCTGCCCACTCCAGCCAGGCTGTGCAGGGCCTGGGCTCAGCTGGGACAGTGACAGTAGCAGCAGCAGTGGAGATGTGAGAAATGATTCGCCCTCCCTGTGCCTACTCCTGAGGACCAAGCAAGGTGGGGGAACCCACCCACCCATCACCACTGCTGCTGTCCTGTTATGTTCCCAACTGAGCCCAGCCCCTACGCAACCCCTCCAGAGCAAGCAAAAGTGGCACTTAAGCTTCCCCCACCCCCAGGACAGCTGGGAAAGCAATAGGTGGGGGATGGGGAGCAGGGATGTGGAGGAGACATGACTGTGACCCAGGAGGGAAGGTGGGGGCAGGACTCTTACCTGGTTTGGGAGCTTAAAAAATTCCTAGACGCTCTCTCTGCCTGGTCTGCCCACACCAGTGGGTGATGGCGAGGTTGGGCAGAGGGAGATACTGGCAGTGTGGGATGTAGCCATCCCTAGAGCATGGCTTACTGCTCCTGTACACCACTTTGCCAAATCCTGGATCCACCCCTGTCTATGTGTATGGCATAAGAGGATTTAGCAGGGGAAGTTTTCCCCATATTTTCCTGCAAGATCTACCACCCAGACTATAATTAGCCATACAATGAAACTGTTAGCTGCAGATACCAGTTACACTAGTTTCATAACCTACTATTATTGGTGAATGGTTCTGAATCATCCCCAAAGTAGCTTAAAACAGTCCACAGAAACACTGTATATATTGCTGCTAATCTCCAACTGTCTGGGATGTTGAATTCCAACATCTCCAAACCCCACTGCATATAAGTCATGACCAGGGAAAAGTAGTGAAAAAGACTTTACCTTCTATAGCCTTTCATCCAGGCCTGCACTCAGCACTCTGCTAGCAATACTGGCCTAGAAGACATTTATTTCCCTCCATCCCTCATCTCTGTCCTTTTCTTCATATTGCCCCATGAAACTCAATGGGTAAGTACACACAGTCAAAAAGCCTGAGGCTTAATCGATTCAAACTTTCCAGGTTAGACTAAGCTGCATAGATTGAACTGATAAACAAGTGAACAGACATTCACTTTTGATTCTGAAAATACAGCCAAGTGCCTGTAGTGGCCCAGGCCAAGAAGCAAGGGGGAAGCTGGGGGCAGGGGGTGAGGGGGGCTAGAGCATGCTTCCCTGCTTGGCTGGAGTAGGTAGCTTAGGGCAAGGCTAGTTTGCCCACCCTGTGAGGGGTGCAGGGGGGTTGCAGGAGAGGTGCAAAGCATCCTGGGATGCTGAGGGACTGTGAGTTAATTTGAATCTGAGAGGATCTGGGACAGAAGTTCAATAAACTGATTTAACCTAAATCAGTTAAATCTGATATTATATCCATCCAGGTTTATCTTAAAACAGGTTTGGTCATTTTGAAAGCAGTTTATGCACACTGAACTTCTGTTGTGTTACAGATTTGAACTGGTTTCTGATCACTTATTCCAGAATGGATGGAAATGTTCCTCATATAAGGAGTCAAGCCTCCAAGATACTACTTCATTGAAATGCCTCCTAAAAATTCACCTTACACGTCCACTATAAATTTAACAATTAGTTTTTAAAATCCAGTCTAGCTCCTTTTTTCTGGGTTCCCCAATGCAAGGTGCTGTCACATTTTCCCTGTGCCTGTCCATGAAAGCTCAGTCTTCCAAGCACCTTACTCATTTATAAGGTAGGTAGGTAAGGTGTGATTTATGGTGTGATGTTACTCTCACACTTCAACTTTACCTGTTGAGAGTTGTCTGAGTGAATTCAATGTGGTCACTCCCAGTGCTTAAACTGAAGCCAATGTAAAAATCTTTGCAGAATCAGGGAGTTGGATTGTAAAGTCTTTGGGCTGGGATTGGTTTTGTTTTTCTGCCTTGTACAACCTCATGGGTATTGTCAGAGTGACATAAAATACTAATAAGCCTTATCTCGACTGAAAGCTGAACCAAAGACAAATTGATTAGTTCTGCTGTAGATTTTGTACCTGGAGCTGCCCTCTTAATGAACTGAATGTTGCTAAACAAATCACTAACTAAAAGACTTAAGATTTTTTTCTTCTTAATTAATTACTATCCATCTACTATCGCAGCATCTCACAGTCTTCAATATAGGCATTCTAACAACAAGATACACCTATGGATGTATCTACATAGTTCAAGGACTGACACCTCAGTGAAACATGAGCCTTCATGTCAACACCTTGAAAGGGTGTAATGTTGCTGACTTGCATTTTGAAAACCCAGGAGTTTCTTTCTGTGAAAAAGCTCCAGGAAGGTTATTTGTTCCATAATTTCTGCACTGTGTACGGTGCTATCTAATTGATAGCCCCAAAATCTTCTGTTCATGGATCATTACGCAACTGTCCTGACAATGTGTCTCACTCTTTGGCCTTTCCCTCATCACTAGGGAAGCTTCCATTGTGATATACCACTGTGAGATTCCTTCATGAATATAGAGCCTCGGATGTCATCTCTCCAACTCAGTCTTCATGGTTCATCCAGTCCTAGGTCCCTCTGCTAAAGCAACCAATTCAGTTGCTCATTAGTGCCAAATGTACTAAAGGACACAATGTACTAAGAACTGAACTGAGGCCAAACTCAGCTGAGACAGACCTACAAAGAAACCATGCTGTTCTTACTACTTTCTGATGGGAGTGGCTTTGAACTGGTGACTTAAAGATGGAAAATACAGCTGTTTACCAACCCTAAGCTGTACCAACTCTCCAAGTTAGGAGCTTGTCTAATAACATGTTAGGACTTGTGCCCTACTTGTGTGATGCCCTTGTTAATTAAGTACAACTACACTATACTCTGCCTGAGCTGTTCTGTTTTTCTAGATTGGAAGGCACAATAGTATGGGTTTTGAATTCATTGATTCTTTATTATTATTTCAACCAATATATTCTAATGATGATCCACAGAGATGCAATTAGCAGGCATGTCTTTTCATTCTAATGATAGTTCATATCCTTGTATAAGTTGATCCTTCCTTAGTGTCCACCATTTTTCTTCATAGTCTGAAAAAAAGAAGTGGATTCAGTGCAGAACAAACTCAGCTACCTTTCCCCATTGTTTTTAAATGACTGGAAGATATAAAAACTGTTCCAATCTCCAGTTGCACCACAGTCCTACCCAACAGTCCAGAGGAGAGTCACACATATAATCAGAGGGCAGGAAAACAGGCCTTATGATGACAGGCTGAGAGCTATGGGACTCTTCAGCCTGAAAGAGCACAGGCTCAGGGAGACCTGGTGGCTTCCTGTAAGTATATAAGGGGTGTACATCAGGATTTGGGGGAATGTCTGTTCACCAGAGTGCCCCAAGGGATGACAAAGTCAAACGGTCACAAACTCCTCCAAGACCATTTCAGGCTGGACGTAAGGAAGAACTTCTTTACTGTCCGAGCCCCCAAGGTCTGGAACAGACTGCCGCCAGAGGTGGTGCAAGCACCTACTCTGGACTCCTTTAAGAGACATTTGGATGTTTATCTTGCTGGGATCCTTTGACCCCAGCTGACTTCCTGCCCCTGGGGCAGGGGGCTGGACTAGATGATCTTCCAAGGTCCCTTCCAGCCCTAATGTCTATGAAATCTATGAATACAGCAAATGTGGCTCCCAGTTTTGCAGATGGAGGCTGGGATGGGGGGGAGAGCTGTGTTCTGTGCTAGAGAATTGCCTGGGGCCCAGAAGTAGCTGGCCCACTGAGCCAAACTCTCTCGCTGAGATCAAGAGCTCTTTATTCATGTCCAAACCCAAAAACTGATTTGTTTACTTGTGGGTACAGCTTATACCTGAATCTGCTCAGTGGGGAATATGATACCAGATGAATGCAAGTGGCTGTGCAAAAAGTGCTGTACAGGGGTCCATCTCAAAATGTACTGGGACATTCATAGATGTTAAGAGCTGAAGAAGCCAGTAACATTATCTAGTTCAGGTGTGGCCAACCCATGGCATGCGTGCCGCAAGTAGCACAGGTTGCTGTGTGTGGCTTGTGAGCCCCAGACACTCCGAATGGAGGCAGGAAGCAAAGGGCTCTGTACAGTAGAGTGGAGAGAAGATGCTGCTGTAAGAGGAGGTGCCAGGTGTCACTGCCAAGAGCCAAGTTAATCCTTCCCAGGCCCTGCAGCTCCTGCCAAATTCAGGGCTTTGCATTCTTGCTTACCATAAAACTGTGGAGTTTGCAGAACCAGGGAAGGAATACCCTGGCCCCTAGCAGTGCCAGTTCCTTTTAGTGTCTTGCCCCTGTTCCATGTGGCCGTGGCCTGAGGCTGAAGCCCCCTGCCACCATTCTGGCACCCTGGGTACAAACTCTCTCAGGTCTGCCTCTGGGGTGGGGATCAGAGCAGCACTTGCGATGGAGGTGAGTCTTAACTGGTGGCGCACCTGCCAAAAGGGCTGGTCACTACCAATCTACTCTGATTTCTTGCATAACACAGGGCAGAGAATTACACTAAGGTTCTGGTACCACATATATTACTGCAGCAAGTGGCTAAAGCTTGACTAACCAGACAGATAGCCCAGCAGGCAGATAGCCCAGCTGATTTTAGAATTCTCTTGTTTTTCTACTCCATTCTCCATAATGCCACCAATGAATGGGCTCGGGCCAACTTCTCTCTGGCGTAACCCCTTGAGCTTCCTGGGAGTTATACGCCAGATGAAATAAGTCCAGTGACATGAGAGGCACTTACATCATAAATCCAGTCGATGTAGGCAGATACTCGGGTGAAGACTGTCGGCTTCCTGTAGGTATTGCAGTAGGGGACAATGCCAAAGCTAACGATCCCATGGATTTTCCAGCGACCTTCCATGTGACACTGCAGAGGACCCCCTGAATCACCCTGGAACCAGAGTGAGGGAAAATGACACACTGTTGGTTTGACCCAAATTCTCAGAGTAATTCAGGAATCAAGGCTTGGAAAGGTGGAAACAGTTGATTAGCTATTGGGGTGACCAAGTTCTTGGAGGTACAGCCCATGGAAGAGCTAAAAGTGGAGCTATAACTAAAATAGTTTTACAACATCTTGTCTTGCTTCCCAAATGGGGGCCAGGCAAGGACTAATTTGGATGCAGGCACAAATTGGAGTGGCCTCAGATGCTTGCATAAGAACTGAGCTGGGCAAGGCACGCATAGTATACTTGGGGAGGACCAGGAGAGTAGATGGAGCAAATTGTCTCTCCTAGTGGCTACCTGAAGCTGAAGGAGGCAGGTTAACACCTCCAAAGGTTACATTTCTGCAGCCTTGCTCCTTTGTCATGGAGATATCCCTTTAACAGGGACTCTGGACATTGCCAAAGCCTTGACTGCAGGGCTACAAGGGAATCCTGGACATCCGTAGGAGATGCTGGTGAGAGAGTCAAGCTTCTTTGCTGCCTTCCTCAGAAGAGTTGAGGAGAAATGCATAAAACAAGAACCTGGGAGCTTCCCTTCCACTAACCTCCCCATTTCTGTGCACGGGGTGGGAGGAAGGAGGGATTTGGAACAATAGCAAATCAATAGACGATTCTCAGGAGATGTAGTTTGCTTGCCAGAGGGGTTTTTCACTCCTAAGCTGCTGCAGGCTTTGGGAGGAGTGTGTTGTAGGGGATTAACAATTTGTGTGATAATTGGGTTGAACTGGAAAGGAAGGAAGGAAGACATGAGGAAGAGAGAAAGAGTCTCAGGAAATCCCAGAAACTATGCCTCTTACACTGCACCCGGATTTCATGCCGTCTCCACCAGCACAAACCATGGTCACCTTGGCTGCCGAGCCCCACCAGTCACTCTGAGAGCAGATGGCATGGTCGACCACTGGAAGCATCGCTTCCTGCAGTGTGGCCGGGATGCTGCCCCCGACTGAAAGGGAAGGAACAGTGTTTAGCCACTCTCACTACAATAGACAAAGGTCCAACGCAGCCACCATCAATGATATAGAGCCCAACATTGCTGAGTAACCAGAGTCACAGAGGAGAGCACAGGTTGGAGTGTCAGAAGCTAGGGTGGGCCCAGAGCAAGAGTAAAATATCCCTTGCTTACCCAGTGGATCTATTCCCCATGTGTATTCAGCCAGATCTGCTGACCTCAGTGACTACAATACCACTTAAAATCATGATGACTGGTTGTGGATGCCAGGATAAACTGTGATCACTGACAGCATTTTAAACACAGTGATTCTGGTTCACACTGTGTGCTAAATAGCAACATCATGCTATTTCACATGTCAAAATGTGATGCATTCCCCCGACACAAGCAATGTCTGCCTTAGAGCAGGTGCTGCTGCTTTAACTACAGTGGCAATGCTACAGTGAACAAGCCCCCTGTTGTGGACAGGAATTTTTTTCTGCTGCCAGGTTTATAATAGCTCCGCTGAATGGCAGCAGCCTTTGGCTGCAAAGCTGAGTCCAAAGCAAGAACTTTGTCAACAAAGGTGGGGCAGTTATGGGGGGTGATCTTTCCACACCCTTTGCTGGCATAGCTCAACTGTCAGAATTTAATAATGCAGACATCACACCATCCTCTAGGTCCTGTCACAGCAGGGCTTCAGCAGTGCACAGTGGTGAATTTTTCTCTCTTTCAGAATATCTTGGCATTCAGTTAATTTTGGGGCAGGATTCCCTTCAGTCACTCTTTGCATTGGAGAAGATGCATGTCAACAGACTTGATTCACACAAGGGCTTGAATCTGGCATGGTCTTTCTAAACTGAAAAACATTTTTTTCCACTTACTAGTAGTTACTCCCCATCCAGTAATGTAGCACGGATAGTTATTAGGCAAGATGTCTCCTGCGGCTGGAAGTAATCCTATCTCAACAAAGCCGTTATTGTAGGCAGAAGCAGAGAGACGCAGCAAGGCAATGTCATTGCTGAAACAGGACACAGATAATAGGCTTTCAGATGCCTGGCTGGAAATTCTAGAGTCAGTCAAGAGCCAAAACCTGACATTTCAGCTGGTTTTCACTCACCTCTCTAGATATGTGGATGGCCACCATCACCCATGTGTCTGAGACCTCACACACAATAATGACCCCATGAGACAGGGAATTATTAACCCCACTCTACAGGTGGGGAACTGAGGCACAGAGTTTAACTACATCTAACATAGGACTTTAGAGACCTAGATCCAAAATTGCCATTCTGAAAACCCCTTCTTAGGTACCATGTAACCCTGGAAGCATCTAACTCCAGAGATGTGACCTAACAGTTCCCCTGTTGCCTGTAAACTCTATTTCTACTCATGCACAGGCCTAAGTCTGACAGAGATCCAGAAACATGGTGTTACTTCACCCAAGTCCCCTTGCCAGACTCCAGCCCATGCATGTTCTCTGAGTATACCATAATACACCCTACCAAGACTGGGCTGTCTGCAGGATGCAGTGGTTACTACCACTTTCTTTGAAAATGTTGGTAGTGATGGTTCTGTCAAAGCCCTTCTTGTATAGGATATCCTGGTGGCTAGAGATGAGCTATCAAACATACGGCCTGCAAGCCAGATCCAGCCCATGGGGCCCTGTCACTTGGCCCCCAATGCTACCCCTGGGTCTGATCAGGTATCCTGGAGGAGTAGGGGAGGGGGTTTGTGGATAGGAGAGCTGGGTTTAATTCCCTCCCCTGCCTGAGGGTATTGAAATCCACATCGCCCACACCTGCCTCTCATACACTAGGGAGGGGAGAGACATGGGACCCATTCCCTGGTCCCAGACCTGTTTTGTCTAATGACTGTATCAAGAAAAATAGAGAAAGAGGCCTGGGAGCAGGCAGCAGAAGCCTCTGCCCTCCTGGGTAAGTGTCCTAACCACTCAGCTACAGAGCAGGGCTCCCTTTTGCCCACACTCTCTTTCTAGCCTACTGAATCTTGAACAAATCTGCAGCATGTTTGGAGACTGCCTCCAGACAGCCTAGTCCATGAACTAGTGGTTTTAGGGCATTTCTCCTGGGAAGAAGAAATGGGTTTGAGCCCCTGTGGCTAAAGAGGGCACTGAGCCTAGACCTCCCACTTCCTGGCCAGGAGTCGTACCCACCAGGCCATTTCAACCAGAGGGTGGCAGCTCGTCCCCCCCAGCAGTCATATCGTAGAAGAACAGAGTGAGCCACACTCCTTCTTGGACAAAAAGAGCACAGGTGCCTCTCTTCCAGAGGTGGCACAGGGCTGTGGTCCTGAGTGGACGGAGTACCTTGGGGGTAGGATTTCAGACCTTCCCTTGCCCTTAGCATTCCTCTATTGATTCATGCTGGGCACGTCTACATGTGTCTCTATGGCAATGTTGTTACTGTGCTGTGATTTAGTACTTCCTTTTGGAAGCACTAAATCATGGTGCAGTAACAGCCCATACCGCACCTTACATGTGATGTATGGTTATTTTCAGCAGCTACTTCACCGTAGCGGCGCACTATACCAAGGAGCGTGTCGCTACAGTGAAGTAGCTGCTGGCCACAGTATTGTTATGCCCTACATGTAGGCTGAGCCTCTGCTCAGCCTGCTGGCTATTTTGGGTCTCTTTGGGAGCCACCTAATTCTCCCCATGCACTGTGTAGAGATCCCGGAGCTCTGGACACTGGCCCGGATTCCATTTGGGGAAGGGGCACCCAAAAGTCAGGCAATGCAGCACCTACTTTTTAGTCTGTCTTTTTATTAAGTCTGTCCCTAAGTGGCTTGCTGAAAGTCATGCAAGAAGCTAGCAGACCAGGAACCCAGGTCCTGGGCTTCCCACAAGACATTCCTCAGCAGATATTGGAGAGAATCTGGGCAGAGACATTTGTGGGAACAGGCACTAGTATAAATACCTCATCATTCAGTCGTGTGGCAAGGTAGTATTTGAGATTAGTTACCCATTCGCAATGTCAGAGGGGTCCCAACCCTCATGAATGAATATTCCATCAACACCGATAAAATACTCAGTGCCGTCAAAGTCAAACAGATTGTGGTCACCCAGAGCCACTCGGTATATTGCTTTAGTTGGCCTAAAAATAAATTGCAAAAGAGTTACTGTACAGTATCCCCCTAACTCCACAGAAATAGCTTTGTATCACAGATTCTGTGGCAGTAAACTTCCCTGCCCACCCCCCTCCCATTACAGTCATCTCTATAGCATTTTCCATCTCAGGATAAGTTTCAGCCAAATATTCTGTTGTATTAGGGACGTATATCTGTATTTTGCTGGTCAGGGAACAAAAGCTGTTCTGTTTGTCCCCTTGTTCAGCTGCCTACAACATTCTCAGACTAGTGGGAATCTGGAACTGTTCATGTTGCAATTATCCGTCTGTCTAGAATGGGATGATGAGCATGCTATGAGTGCTTTGTTTAATGATGTATTGGCCAACGGCATAAGCAATTAAAGATGTGTTCATTTGTATATAATGCATTGTTTATATGGTTTATTATTTATGGTTTATATTATGATCTTATTTATATGGGTGTGTTACACAGCACATAAGCTATGGCTGAGAATGGATGAAGGCAGGGTTTCTCTCTCTCCCTCAGCCTCTATGAATAATAATACCAATTTAAATGTACTGAAAAACTCAAATTTATGCAATCACATATACCAACATGTAAATATACAATCAACCAATTGCTTTCCAGAAGTCAGCAGTTATGTGTAAATATCTTCAGTGAATCTAATAAGAGATTTTCTATATATCATGAAACTAACTGTATTAATACCATCTTGCCTTGACCAGAATGAATGTGCTGAGAACTCGGAGTGTTTGAGCGGCCCAGCAGCAGTCCAGAGTGAGATCTGGGACTTGTACCGAGAGTTAAAAGTCTTTTACTATTGTACTTACGTGTTGATGCAGTGGGCAGCTGTCATGACCCATGCAGCACTAATGAGTGTGCCACCACAGACGTGGTAAAAATACTCAGGAGCATTTTTATAAGCAAGTTGGAGGGACACCTGGATCAAATGGCAAAATACGATATGTCAAAGTTTTGTTCATGACACTGCCATGACGCTTGTGTGTGCTATTCTGATTAGTGATGTGGCACATAACCCGGCTCCACCTGTGGCTGGCAAAAATAATGAGAGGTTCAGAATGAATGAAAACGCAAACAGACAGACACTTGCTTTTTGTGTGTGCTTTTTTGCCAGCTGCTACTAGTCCAGGCTCAGCATGATACAAAGCAAGGCTGTCTCCAAGGTCTTGCCTGACCTAATTAAAAAGGCCCTTTTTCAGTGGAATTACCTCATTCCAGCTGATGTGACTCAATTGTTCACTAAAAGGCAATATAGACAAGGATTAACACTTCTAAGAGCTATCTGGGTGGAAAGAACCATTTTTTCCTAGCACAGACAAAGGCTGATGAAGGGGTTCAATATAATAACAATATATAATAACACTCGAGTCTAGTGTGCTACAGAAAGCTACTCCTTTGGGATTCATCTGCAGGTGAAATATTTGAATGTGGAACATCTTTATCATGAATCTCTGAAGAACCTGTAGGCTTGGGTATAATTCTAAGGTATAAATGAAGCTTTATGGAGTCAGGGAAACACCTGTTTAAGACATGCGATTCTTTGGGATGAGCAGTCAAACAAAAATGACCCATAGGGGTGGGACCACGGCTGGGTGGGGTTTGGGGAGAAGAATTCTGCCAGTGACTGCAGAGAACCATCTGTTCAAATCTCTCTGCACTTCAGTTTGTCCAGCTCTGACATAGGAATATTATTTACGAACACCCTTCTCCTAAATAGCTGCATTTGATTAGCTCCCAGGTAGCAGTGACTCCTTGAGCTCCCTCTGAGACATCATTCTGCAAGTTAAACTCAAAATTGTTGGTCTCAGCAGAGTCCTTTCCAAGGAGTGCTGCTGATCAGGAGAGAGTTACAAGGCGTCTCCGGTATACCTGCATGACACAATGCCAATGCAACACAGAGAGATGCATGTACTGGCAGCAGTACAGATACAGTAGTTGTGCTATTGTGGATACACTGCTTCCAGTACTTCAGCCAGCTTCTTTAAAGCTAGTTTGGGTTTCTGTGCATAGCACTGCTTTGTGCCATGTAGATAGAGGACAGAAGCATCCCTTCAGTGTCATTCTTAAGTCAAAGCTGATAAATTCATTTTTTATTTTACAAAGTAGGATTGCCAACAATTTAGGCTATACAAGGACTTACTTTTAATGTAAGATTTTTAACACTAACAGTCTTAACAGATGCTCCTCTACACAGACTGTTTCACATTATCCAATAGATACAAAAGTAAAACACTTGCAATTCCAAAGTACAAAAATATCAAAAGATAGAATATAGAGCAAGTGAAGCGTAGCTTAGTAAACCAAAGAAATTTAAAAATTTACTCAAGTCAAAGACTCACTAACCTATAGAAACAATGTTCTTATGTATTTAACATTAAGTAATATCAGAACAGTATGCTGGAAGAAATAATACACAGTAATAACATTAACAAGTAAATTTGTTAGACCCCAATCAATGTGGTGCCCAACGACTAGGGAGACGATGATCCAGTTACCTGTGGATCCTGTTACTCATTAGCCAGAGCGAGCAGGGAGCAAGCACCAGTACACATTGCTCGCAACAGCTTTATTCAGAATGGAGACAGCTTCGGACTAGCTCCCAAAAAACCAACAAACCATAGAGCGATGCCGAACAATAGTTCTTTCCACATTTATACCCCTTGGTTCATACTTATTAACATTTCCCCCGCCTATGTCCCTCCTCCCGTTCCACCCATTTCTCCTCCCACCTCAAGCTCTGCCTCTGTTTACTGTTTGCTTCCTTAGCATGGCATTGCCTATGCATTTCATTCATTTACATGCCTGTCTGCTAAGAGTGCATGCATAAGACTTTGACCCCCCGTCTTCTCCCAGTCAGTTGTGGTTTCTTGCTGGTTCTTTCTGGTTTTTTGCTGACTTCAGCACCATCTTCAAGGCCATACTTCTGCTTTGTCCCCTAACGATAGCCATTGGTCTGTATCCTATTTTTACACAACACATCATGCACTTTGCACCCTATCCTTTTGTTAGGGATCTGCTTGCTTAAGCATTAGCAAGGTTACTTTTAATGTATTATCCAGCCTTGTGACCAGCAGCTTTTGCTGAGACACAGGAAAAAGCCTTCATTCAGCAGCACACCCAGTGCTCCCCAAGATCCAAATATTGTCACCCTAACAAATATATCTTGATTTGTATTTTCCTTTTATTTCTTAAGGGAAATTTCTTTATTTGCTTTATAGGAATGGGAATTAGAAGTCTACCTCAACTGCAGCATAATTCACACAGTATAACCATCTAAAATGGAATACCCTTTGAGTCACTTAAAACTTTCATTCTGTGATTTTTAAAAGGGGACTCACAATAATTGCTGATGGATTCTTTTAATTGCTCCTAGTTTTGTTATTTTTACTGAGGGCATGTAAAATTGTGGTTTGTATGGTACTACTAAATATTATCAGTGACATCTAAATATGAGAAGTCAGTGAAACTAACCTCATCTTTGTAGTGAGGGTGAATATTATTTGTTAAAAGAAAGTAGATTTGTTAAAAAGCAGTTAAATTATGAGAAGGGGCTCTGTAAAATTGACAAGAGGTTCTATGTAACCACGTTAAATTGCTACATCTATGAACAAAAAGATTTTTTTTTTAAATACAGGGAATATCAACTCATACAGGGAGCTTAAATTCACAGAAGTCTTCTGTAGACTCACATATCATTGCTGCTTAAGAGAAAAACTACATTTTTAAACTTGTGTTACCATATATATTGCAGTGTAGCCCCAGCAAAACATCATGACCAATGGAGGTAATGAAAGGATTTCCCTCCTCTCTTTCACATATCTGAAAAATTTTAATTTCCTTGGCTGTATTAGGATTTTACATACTTTAGATACCATAAGTTAAAAATATGCCTTTTCCTTAGTGGAGACCAAGCCTAACTAACAAAAATGGAGAAGCTCAATTAACAATTCTGGTGAAGAAACCTAAACAACACATAGAATCAACCCATCCTTCCATAGCTCTACCAGCAAACTGGTGCTAAACAGGAGTAAACATGTATTTTTGATGAAAAAAGACACAAATGATTAGAGCTGTACAAGAAACAAACATATATAAGGATGTGCCATTTTTCATCTAATCGATCACTTGTCTAATCAGAATCATACTTTAAACAAGCAATCTCTCCTAGGAAACTGCAGCCTAGTCAAAGCAACTGTCTGTTAGTTTTTTCTGTGGTTTTAGGAGTAATGTTTTTCTAAATTCTTGATACTGAGCTGTTCCATATAGAGACTCCCTGCTGCTGCAGTTAGGGCAGGGGCGGGCAATGATTTTGGATAGAGGGCCGCTTACTGAGTTTTAGCAAGCCATCAAGGGCCTCATGCCAGGCAGCCAGGGGAAGATATATTCATTTTCTAATTTTTTTAGGGACCACGCGAGCCAGATAGAATGGTCTGGCGGGCTGCATCCGGCCCGCGAGCCACATTTTGCCCACTTCTGAGTTAGGGGGTGGTTTGTGAATGCCAGCTGCTGTTTCGCATTTGTGTGCTGGATGGACAACAAGTGTTAGTAAGGTTATTGCTTTGCCCTGACTAGACCCAGTGGAACTCCGGCTACATCTGACATCCTGCATTTTTGATTTGCTGTCATGTTCTCACACTTTCTGTTTTACTGTGCAGATTTCAAATTTAAAAAATGAAAAAGGCTTTACCTGCCACTTCCAGCTGTTCGGTCGGGCCTCTTGTCCTCCAATTACTCGCTCCGTTAACATCTCATTGTGAACAGCATAGCTTGGAGGATTTCCAGAAATTGCACCTAACCACAGAGAAATGAGCGTAGTTTGCCACACAGCTAATCAGTGTCAGTCAGCTTGGATTTAAGGTCAGCAGCAAACTTGTGCTGCATCCTACAACCAACTAAAAGAGTTTGAGAGATCAGGTAACTTTCTCAATGATGAAAGAAATTGTGGTTAGCATAGATGCCAACTTTTATTTTTGACGGGGTGAGGGTGGGGGGTAAGATGATACCCCCCACCCCATTGCACAGCTGAGTGGTCCCCATGGGGGGCACGGGTGCAGACGAATATAGGCTGACTGCTGCAGGCTCGGAGCTCCCCACCCTGCTGCCCTCTCCCTGGGAGCCCTGCACTGCCATGGCAAGGTACCCCCTGCCCACCTGGCAACAGCAGGGGGTACAACTCTTGTGCTGCTGCCCCTGCTGCTGCCTCATTGTGGCAGTGCGGGGCTCCTGGGGAGAGGGTATAAGGCAGGGAGCTCCAAGCCTGCAGTAGGCAGTCTGCATCTAGGGCTGTACAAGACTTCGGACAGAGCTTTGGATCTGGAGAAGCTTTGGATGCTTCAGGGTCTGAAGCAGCATGTCTGGGTCGAAGCGCTGCCTCGTTTGGCTTCCCGAAGCAGTTTGGAGCCACCTCAGAGATCCGGCCAGGGTATAATAGGGAAACAATAAAATAACTATAACTTTGTTGTTTTTTGTCCAATGTGGATGAAATTTTCAGGGGTGGTAGACTCTGCAGAGAATATGAATCTTGCCAAGTTTTGAGAAGATCGGTGCAGGGGTTTGGGGGAAACTGCACCCCAAATTCTTGAAAGCAAAACTCATGTCACATCTAGGTGTTACACCACAGGGGGGTCAAAACAGCAGGGCTGGTAGCTCTTGCTGAGACCACAAAGCCTGCCATGTTTCAATAAAATCAGTGCAGGGGTTTGGGGGGAACTGCCCCTCAAGCTGTGGACAAGCAAAACTCATCCCTGTGTGTGTTAAGCCACTGCGGGGTGGCAGCTGCAGGGATGGTGGCCCCTGCTGTGGCCACACCGCCTGCCAGCTGTCAAGGAGATTGGT